CAGAGAAAACTTACATTAGAGAGATTCCAGAAAGAAAATCCTGGTTTTGACTTCAGTGGAGCAGAAATCTCAGGAAACTATACTAAAGGTGGAACAGATTTCTCAGATCTTGAGAAATAACCACTACTTTTTTTTTGCTGCATTCTGTGATCCCAGCAGATGTTGCCAACTTAATCAAAGGAACAGATTATGTGATGGAAGGAAAATGTGGATACCTGCAGTTGACAAATTGCAAAATATCTTTAACTATGGTTCTAAAAATTGCATTCAAATATGACGTACGTAGGAAACATCTTAAATACTGTGGAAACTATTCTACTGATAGAGAGTAACATTTTTTGGACTTGTGTTTTTGCTCAGCATGAAGTTTCATATGCTGTATTTTACTAATTTCATATTTAACCTATATTTTTAATACAAAAAAAATTAGGGTATAGATCATGCAAAATGACTGGGTACCTTCAGGGACAATTAAATTTTTCTTTCAGTAAGTGTAATGCAGTAATGTTCAATAAACTTTCCTAAATAGGAAAAAAAAAAAAGGCAGCATATAGTAATTTTCAAAAAGAAGTTTGTTAACTATTCCCACAAGCTATATCTAATTTATGTACTCAGTCACTGATTTAATCAATAAAACATAAATGTAAGGAAGATTTATCTTCTCCTACTAGACTGGAAAAATCCTAGCAATTTTGATTAAATGTAGTAAATCAGATAGATGCATGCATTTCCATCTCCTTTCCCAAACTTGACTAAAATGATAGGAAATGAATTTAAAAATGTATACTACTATAAGGATAAAGAGGAGAAATGGCCTCCAATTTTTGAACACTGGAAAGTTAATGGAGACTTGGCAGCTGACTTAGTGAAAGGGATGCTCAAAGTTTAGGGCTGTCTGCAGAGAGCTATGTCAATGTAAAGCTATTCACACTAAAGAAAGGCAGAGCGATGCAGCTCTTGGGGCTACTACGCGCTTTCCAAGGTGGGGCTGGGAGTAGTGACACAAACAGCACTATCGGCTATAAACTCTTCCCTACACACCACAAAACCAGAAAGCCCTCTCTCCCCAGTACGTGCAAGAAAAGAAGGATTTATTCTGAAAAGAAACTGGACTAGAAAGCTTATGAACTTAGAAACACCAGACATAGCAAAAGGCAAAAATAAAACACTCTAAAAAGGGGGGTGCCTGGGTGGCTCAGTCATTAAGCGTCTGCTTTCGGCTCAGGTCATGATCCTAGGGTCCTGGGATCAAGCCCCGTGTCGGGCTCCCTGCTTGGCGGGGAGCCTGCTTCTCCCTCTCCCACCCCCCCTGCTTGTGTTCCCTCTCTCACTGTGTCTCTCTCTGTCAAATAAATAAATAAAAATCTTAAAAAAAAAAAAAAACCCATTCTAAAAAGGAATTAAGTTAAAGTCTGTGGTTTGAACAGTGGATGAGACCCTCACCTCATTACCTTTCTTAACTCCTAAATGCTGTCTCCCAGGCATATTACTCACAAGAAACCAGAGGACTGTTCCCCAGAGAAACTTGGCCTCAAAGAAGACTTCTTGATACTAAGTTATTCAAAAAATGAGAAAAGGGAGAAGAAAAAGAAGTGGAAGAGGAAGAAGGAGGAGGAGAGAGAGAAGGAAGGAAGGAAAGAAGAAGCTTCACTCCTGCTGCATGAATAGAGCTTCCAATCAGTGCTGACCCTCAAATATAAATGAACTCTTCAGTAAAATCTCTATCACTAAAAAAAAAAAAGTGGGGAGAAAACAGAGACAAGGCATAAGGAACAATACTTCAGAAAAAAAACAGAATTAATAGTTTCAGAAAGATGCCATAGAGAAGAGAATGTTCTTTAGAAAAAGAAAAAAATTAACCAGAGAACATAGGAAAACTCTTCAAAATTAAAAATTAAGTTAAATAATCCAAAATTAAAATTTTGCATTAAGTTTAGAAGACATAGCTGAGTAAGTTTCCCAGTAGGCAAAGAAAAAGGCAAAACTAAAAAGAAAATGTTTAAAAAAGAAAAAGAAAGAAGAAAGGAAAAGAAAGGAAAAAGGAAAGGAAAAAGGAAAGGAAAGGAAAAAGAAATAGTGTGGACTCTAAAGGACCCACTGAGTACCAGACAATGAGTTCAAACATATTCTCCCTAAGACACATCATTTTAAAAAAATTTTTTAATTTGAGTATAGTTGCCATACAATGTCACATTAGTTTCAAGTGAACAACATAGTGATTCAACTATATGTTATGCCATGCTCAGCACAAGTGTAGCTCCCATCTGTTACACAACACTGTTACAATCTCATCAACTCTATTCCCTATGCTGTGCCTTTTATTCCATGACTTACTCACTCCATAACTGGAAGCCTGTGTCTCCCACTCCCCTTCACCACTCACCCCACTACACCCCTCCCCTCTGGAAGCTATAAGTTGGTTCTCTGTATTTATGGGTCTGTTTCTGCTTTTTATTTGTTTGACATTTGTTTTGTTTTTTAGATTCCACATATAAGTGAAGTCATATGTTTGTCTTTCTGTCTGACTTATTTCACTAAGCATAACACCCTCAAGGTCCATCCATGTTTCCACAAATGGCAGGTCTCATCCTTTTTATAGTTGTGTAATAGTCCTCTGTGTGTGCGTGTGTGTGTGTGTGTGTGTGTGTGTGTGAGAATGATATCTCCTTTATCCATTCTAAGACACATTCTAATGCAATTTGAGAGCACTGGAGAAAATGAAAGAAGAGAGAGGAAAAGTCAGATAGAAAGGACATAGAATCAGAGCAGCAGTTGAATTTCTCAACAACAGTAGAGAAAAGCCTTTTAAATTTTTGAGAGGAAACAATTAGCAAACTATAATTCTACATCTGGACAAACTATAAAGTAAATGTGAGATCAGATTAAAAACTATTTAAGAGGGATGCCTGGGTGGTTCAGTCAGTTAAGCGTCTGCCTTCGGCTCAGGTCGTGATACCAGGGTCCTGAGATCGAGTCCCACATCGGGCTCCCTGCTCCGTGGGAGTCTGCGTCTCCTTATGCCTGCCGCTCCCCCTGCTTGTGGCTCTGTATCTCTCTCTCTCTCTGACAAATAAAATCTTAAAAAAAAAAAAAAAACTAAGAGGGGTGCCTCAGTTGGTTGAGTATCTGGGTGCCTCAGTCGGTTGAGTATCTGCCTTCAGCTCAGGTCATGATCTCAGGGTCCTGGGATCGAGCCCCACATCCGGCTCCCTGCTCTGCGGGGAGCCTGCTTCTCCCTCTCACCCTGTTTGTGCTCTCTCGCTCTTTCTCTCAAATAAATAAATAAATAAAATCTTTAAAAATAAAAATAAAAACTATTTAAGAAGTAAAACTGTCAAATTTATTTCCTTGCATCTTTTCTCAGAAAGCTAAGAAAGGATGTGCTACACCAAAATGAAGGAATAAACCAAAAACTGTGAGGATGACACAAGATCCAAAACAGGAAAAGGAAAAAGGATTTCCTAGGATAATGATGAAGGGAAATCCCATGATGGCAGCTGTGTAGCAGGAAACCTCAGTAATAGATTCCCTGATGTGTCTGACTATATTGATAGTAATTTTATAGTTCTTTAAAAGAGTATGGGAAGAACTAATGATTTGTACATAGACAATTAAACAAATTCAAAAGGAGGAGAGACAATTATTCTTTTTTTTAAGTAATCTCTATTTTCAATGTGGGGTTCGAACTCATGACCCAGAAATCAGGATTTGGGTGCTCTACTGATTGGGTAGACCACCAGCCAAGCACCCCAAAAGGAGGACAGACAATTAACAAATTCAAAAAATTTTGAAAGACCATACGGTACTGAAATATAGTATCCTACTTGGCTCAGCTGTGAACATAATTTACCTAATCTTATAAAAAAGGTAAACACTAAGCATTAATTGAATTAAAATACTAAAATTCTAGTTGGATCATGGAGTCGAGAGAAGGACAATGATTGGGGGAAAGGGTGTTATGAGTGCTAAATCCTCAACCTGCATTGTACAGAGTAATAGGTAATATCTAAAACTGCCTAAACAAAAAGAAAAAAGGATAAGCAAACAATTTAAACACATGTAGGTAAATCCCAGGAGGGCAGCTGAAAGAGTTCGGGGGATGGTATTTAGAGATGACCACTATTCTCCCTATAAGCTTTATAATCCTATTTGACATTGAAATTATGTACATGAGTTACTCTAAAAGAAGGAAAAAAAGCAAATCATCTACACTTTCTTAAATGGGTTCATCTCTTAGTTTATCCCAAGACAGCAGATCTTGCAGTGGAAGACCATTGTGACCTCAGCCCTGCCCATGCTCACACTCTGGAAGTTTTCATTAATACTTAGGTTCTAAGGAAAATTTGTTGTCTCCTGTGATGGCTGAATAACAAAAGAAAATCTTCCTGACAGAGTAAAACATTATGAAATCAACTTTTAAAAATCAAACTTAGGGTTAAAGTTAAAAGCAGTAAAACAAGAACTCCTGTAGCTTTTGCTTATATCTAACTACTTACACCTTCTTATTTTTTTTTTCCAAGTAGTTTATCTAATTATAGACACCGTTTAATTTTTTAAAAATCAGAAAAAAATTGGTAAATTATAATAAGAATTTGTCTTGAATCTAGAAACCACAAAGCAGGGCCACCACATGAGACTATGCACTTTGTTTTCTGCTGAGGAGGTGACAGTAAAGCTTAGATTCACCCACTCACCAAGCCAAGATACCCATGTTGCTAAGTTCAGAAGGAAAGGGCACTGTTTCCCATTAGTCTACCCAGAGAGGTCCCTTTTTGCAAATGAACCAATCAGAGGATCCACCTCTTATCTAATTCACGAAAGATGCAGGACATCCTAGCTGAACCTGTGATTAACTGTCTTTCTTAAAAAGGCTTTCTTTTAATCGTCTGGTTAATTTGCGCTTGGATAAAACTAGAAGAGCATGAGCAGTGGTCAAATCTATGTGATCATGACCTACATTTACAGACTGATGCCACTATGACAAATATGTGGTTACTTACCAGGAATGTGTTTCCACAATGCCCACACACGACCCTTGTACCTTCTGGCTGGACTGGCAGTGCAGGCTGAGCTGGCTGTTCTTCAGAAATAAGCATTACTGGGCTAAGGTTAATTATGCGTCTACTGTGGAGAGAGAAAGGAAACAACTTCATTATCCCACAAATGCACTGAGGGCAAAACCTGTAATATCTGGCATAGCACTGAAAATAGATTATACTTGTTTTATAAATTGTCAGGTTTGAAGCCAAATTCACAGAAAGTAGCAGCAATTTTGAAAGCAAAAAAAATGACAGTTTTTTAATATTTGTGATGGAAACCATATATTATGGTGTTGGTTCTAATCAATGGCCTTGGGAACCATTTAACTGCTATTTCCAAGTTCCTACAAGTTCAAATTAGAAATTTTTTATCATTCCCTATCTAGGAAGACAAGTTGAGTTTGGTGGAGGACTACACAAGTTAAAATATTCTGCATCAGCAAATATGTGTGTGCCATGAAGGTACCAAAGTGCTGAGTCACAGCCAAATTTCTCTGGGTAGACTGGTATTCTTTGATGTCTATTTAACCAGAGTTGGACAAAAAGGAAAATGGGAGGTTTCTTTTCTGTCTATTCCATCAGATGGGGTTGCAAATGATTCCTTTAATGGTCAAAAAGCCAGAAATCACAGAAAAAACACAGTGAAAGCCTAGATATACTTCTATCTAGGCGCATCTATAATGGCATTTATCAAATAGTTCCAGAATTTATTGCATAGATTATGTTCAGCAAAGACTCATATAGCACACAGTGAGGTACACAGTGATGACTAAAACACTTGCAGGTTAAGATGAATTAAATCAAAAGTAAACTAGGTGGTTACTTTTGGGTTTTTATTTCTTTTTCTTTGAAACATATTTATTTGAATTGATCTTAATCACTATATGTGTGTGTGTGTGTGTGTGTATTACAGTTGGGTGTCACCTCCCTTCACTGATAGAACAGACATCTGAAATGGCTTGCAAATAGTGTTCTTGGAAACACCTTTATTGCAGGTGTTTAAACACCTGACTGCACGAATTACAGAATGGGTTTATTCTATTCACTCAGATAACACTGGCCTGCAGGTTGCAACTAGAGATCTTATAAATACCCTTATTACAAGTGCTCTTAATAACTTCACTGTATATATAACAATGGGGATAAGTGGTTACTTTTAAATAAGTTTAAGGAGTCACAATTTATTAGAGTGCATTAAGTACTTATATAACATCAAGAAAACTTTCACTACTCATTCAAGAATATTATATCTTATGAATACTTGTGACGATTAATTTCAAACTTATCACATCATTCCGTTTAACAAAGAAAAAATAATAATCTAGGTCCTGTAATTGAGGACAAAGGTTATTTAGAACAAAGCCTGGCACATAATGAGCCTTTAATAAGTACTTGTTGGATGAACAAATGAATGAATAAATGAATGATGAATCTTTATCTCTTACCAGTTAGGTCTCGGACATCCTATTCGCCGAGATGTGTCCTTACAAATGAGGAGACAATTACAAGGGCATCTAACATATTTCTTCCCTGTTGGGGGGTTTTTGATTGGCTAGATAAGGGAAGAAAATGCAAACACAGCAAATTAACCAAAGGACAGATTGCCAAAGCTTATTTGTATATAAAAAGGAAATGATTCCTTAAAAACTTCGGCTCCCCATAGTTGTACCAAAGTACAGGTTAAGGAAAAGTGCATCATAAGTGGTTTTAAATAGCTCAAATGTTGGCAAGCACTCTATGAAATTTGGGGGCTGCTGAGATGTAATTGTGAAGGGCATATTTCAAAATTAGTTTGCAGTGCCCTTTTAATATGAGAAGAAAATTTAAGTTCACAACAAGAATTGTTTTCCTTTAAAGTTTTAAGACCAAAGCCAACTATCTGTCCTACCAGGTGCAAATATTCACTAAAGGTTCTTACACCTGTTTGGGAAGAGCAAACTCATTAGGAATAGTGGACAAAGAGGAGTATATAACAAATTTGAACTTTTCTTTACTGCCTAGAATATAAGAAGGGATTAATTTTATTACATCTTTTAACTTAAAAAACAAACAACTTGCAATAACTCTTAATGTTACCATTTTTTAAACTTTACAGTAAATTTAAAAGCAAGAATAAACACCAAAAAAACCCACAAAACACTCCTTTAAATAAGGACTTAGCAGGGCGCCTGGGTGGCTCAGTCGGTTAAGCATCTACCTTTGGCTCAGATTATGATCCCAGGGTCCTGGGATCGAGCCCTACATCAGGCTCCCTGCTTGCAGGAAGCCTGCTTCTCCCTCTCCCTCTGCTGCTCCCCCTGCTTGTGCTCTCTCTCGCTCTCTGTCAAATAGATAAATAAAAAATCTTTAAAAAAATAAAATAAATAAGGACTTAGGCTTGTTAGAGTAAATAACCCATGAAGCAATGAGAGGACTAGATCATCATTCCTGGGCATGCCTACCAAAAATGTATAGCTTGAATCCAATTATTAGGGAATACCAGACAAACCCAAAATGAGGAACATTGTACAAAACACCTTGCCTGTACTCTTGGAAAATGTCAAGGCAATCAAAGACAAAGAAAGAGTACATTTCAGATTAAGGGATATTAAAGAGACATACTGATATCCAAATACAACATGGAACTCTGGATTGACTCCTGGACCATATTGTTGTTTTTTTGTGTGTTTTTTTTTAATGGAACCATTGAGCAAATATGAATTAGGTCCAAAGATCAGATAATAGCCATTGTATTAATGTTAATTTCCTGCATTTGATCATTGTACTGTGATTATATAAGTGAATGTCTTTTTTTCCTTTTTTTTTAAGGAAATTCACACTAAAATGTTTAGGGGTAGAAGAGACCCAGGTCTGCAGTTACTTTAAAGGCTTCTTAAAAAAAAAAAAAAGATTATTTATTTATTTAGAGAGAAAGCCAATGTGACAAAATATTAATGCAATTGGGGAATGTGAGTACAGGGTCTGTGGGAATTCTCTGTACATAATATGTACTATTATTTTTGTAACTTTTCTGTGAATCTGTAACACATTTCAAAAAAAAGATTAAAAAATTTAAGTAAACAATCTTGTTAGAAATATATAAAAGTTAGTAATAAGTCATCAACAATTTATTAAACTATATAACAGATAAAATCTGAATATCTAAGATTTATAAACATCCAGAATGTGTTCCTATCCAATCTAAAATATCAAGAAAACCAGAAATTGGGTTAATTCCTGTATATCCAAATTTTCCCATTAAGTAAATGTGTACTTGGCAAATGACAAACTTTTAAAAATTTTATTCCCACCTTACTTCTAGACCTCAGTTCCCTCGTTTATAAAGCAAGGCACTTGAACTAGAAGAACTGGTCTTTATTGCCCGCCCATGCCTTGTCATGTCTGATCTGCAGGGAAATGGGGATGAAAATGGCACTGTCCTTATGCATAAGTTTTAATATTCTTACTTAGTAAAATGAACTTGTATGTGAGTGGTGCTGTGCTGGGCACTTTACCCCTGTAATCCCAAGGGCAACTCTATTAGGTAGATATTATTATTATACCACTCTACTTGAGGAAACCACAGTGTGGAGAAGCTAAATCCCAAGGATATAGCTACCAAGTGGCAGAGCTAGGATTCAAACCCCAGTCCATCAGTCTCCAGATCTCAGACTCATAATCAATCATGCAGCCAATTAGTTCCACTCTTCCTCCAGGACTTCTCAACTTTTCCATTAACTTCTCCCTTAACCTTAAATTCTGTATTCTCTAAGCCTTGCTAAAATTTGTCCATCTTTTCTCTCCCCCAACTTCTCTCTTTTCTTTCCCAATTCCATCTACTGAAATAAGAAGGACTTTCATTAGCCTAGTTTTTTTTGCTTTGCTATGTTTCGTTTTTTTAATCTCCTCAGGAATATCAGGTTCCTATCAGAGGTGGCTGCCGAGGAGAACAGACACACTGATCTCTTGTTTTAGGTGACATGAGGAGAATGAACCACAGTGAAACTGAACAGGGAACAGTGACAGTGAACAGAAGCTGCTCTGTTGGATCCTGGTCCATTTACCTGTTCTTTTCAACCGAGAATTTCTCCAGAGAAGCTGCTAGTTGCCTAACACCTCTTCACTCATAAATTCAAGATCAAATTATATTGCAAACATTGGCAAGTCATCTGTTAAAGCATTCCTCACACACATTTTCCCCCTCTTCTCCTTCCCTGTAATATAACTGATTCCACACAAGGCAATCTAATTAGGTACTATTCATTTTCTCTAGAATATTGAGAAATACTTATATTTCCTTACTTAGCAGGAGTTATAATGATATAAAAGTGTCAGCACAATTTTCTTTATGTCCAAAAGTAGTTTATTTGTACCCAAATCCTCTTGTTCTGGAAAAACGAACTCATCACTTCTGAGTAGCCAGATTGAGGCTGTTGGCTAAATCCATAGCCTGTTCTGTTTATTTCCAAGGGTAAATATAAAGCTTTAAAAGGTTTTTATACTCACTAAAGAACAAGTTTGTAGGGATGGTGGAACAGGACAAAAAAATGAAACCTTTCAGGTACTGGGTGTTTGTTGTTGTTGTTGTTGTTGTTTTAATAGCCATCTATGTCTGACAACTCTTATTTGGTTGTTAACTCTAAAATGAGCGCTACAGAGGCTAATGTTAAGTTTGCTAGTAAGTGTTCAACCTAAAAAGAAAATAGCTGGCTCTGTAGGCATCGCCTCTATTTACACTGTAAAGTTTATCTCCAAATGACGTCCCTTATAAAAAATCCATACTTGCAATGAAATATATTGCTTCATGACTTAAGGTTTTAGTTTATGACTTTCCTATAAAACATATAAAGCACAGTATACATGTTTCATGGTTCTTAGAGACACAATAATCTTTGGCTGACTTTTTTTGAGGAAAGGAAAAATATACAAATACCAACAATTGATATTTAATTGCAGATTTTGAGAGAGATTGAAATTTTAAAAATAAAAATAAAGCCTAACCATAAAAGTAGAAATATATTTAATCTAACTAGTATACACTTTCCAGTTCATTACTTGAAACTAAAAATTTTACTTAAAATGTAGTTGTTCTTCACCAGATTCAGTTAAAAAAAAAAAATGTGCCCTTCAAATTTTTTGAACATTTCTCTAAATTACTATCAAGCAAATAGAATAAAATACCAAGCTATCTGTAAACACTTTGGCACAGACATCAATAATAAATGCATAATCTTAAGTCCAGAAAAACCATACAGACATCCTACAGATGTAAAGCAGGTTTAAATAATTTTCGACATAGTAAGTACAAAGTCCACATTTGAAGTGAAATTTGGCATATCTTCATTTTTGTGAAAATCAAAATGGATTTAGTTGTGATGTGATAGACACTAAGGATAATTATAAATGCCTGACTAGGGTCAGTCTCACGTTAAAAAGTAAAGAGCCGGGACACCTGGGTGGCTCAGTCGTTAAGCGTCTGCCTTCGGCTCAAGTCATGATCCCGGGGTCCTGGGATCGAGCCCCACATCGGGCTCCCTGCTCAGCGGGGAGTCTGCTTCTCCCTCTCTCTCTGCTGCTCCCCCTGCTTGTGCTCTCTCTCTCTCTCTGACAAATAAATAAATAAAAATCTTAAAAAAAAAAAAAGAGCCAAATGGCATTATATTTAAATTAACCATGAAATTTTCATAATGGAATTAGCCTTAAACACCTGGAGACATCTTTGTATGATAAAAGAGAACTAGAGAGAAGAAAGAAAGGATGAGAAAATACGGCCATATCTATATCCAGCCCACATCTACCTTTAAGTAACATTACTGGAGTATTTCCTTTAGAGACAAGATGTCAGATAACAATTTATGCTTTATTAAGGGAAATCCCCACTTACCGTAGCTTCATTGCAAACCGTGCACTTAACCACATGCTGGTGAAGCTTGCCATCCAAGTTGATGAGAGATTGGCACACGCGGCAGTTTATTACTGGAATACCACTGGCATCAGGGCTGACAATGGCTGTATATGGAGGTGGGAGTTCGGCTGAAAAGGTTATCAGTCACTGAATCAGAGCCAGCCGTATTACAGAGAATAGAGGTAAAGCAGAAACTACCACAAATGACCTCATTCTTGTATTTATGTTTTCAAAACTAGCCAGCTTATCCTAGTTTCAGAGCACAAACACACATGGGACTACATTGTGAAGTAGAATAATTCTTCCTCTGATAAAATCTAAATCATGTTTGCCTCGGTCTACCCAAATGATCCGGTTTCCTTTTACTAACCTATACACAACGTATCCACTCTGTTCCTGCAGAAATTCGGAGAGCTTGTAATGGGAAAGTGATGATTCATGCCTAAAGAATCTGACACTAATGATCTGGTTACCAAGAGAAACAGTCAGTGAGAGCAAAGTTTCTAAATCACTTATATATACCCATAAATTGTGCAGCCGTCATGCTGTGTTTATAAAGGGACCAGCATGTAACTGCTGGCCATGTCAACAACAAAACAGTTTTGGTGGCAGCTAAGGAGAGACAAAAGTGAATGTAGGAAAACTAAACGTATCAACATGGAACAAAGCTAATTGGAATAGAACAGTGCTAATTTCAGACACAAAACAAAAATAAACTTAACATTTTTTTATCTCAAATTTGTAACTTCAACATTAAAAATCCAGGAAATGCACTTAAGTATTTGTGGGTAAAAAATATGATGTCTGGGATTTGGTTTAAATCCTCTAAGGCAAAAATGGTCTAAGAGATGAAACAAGATTAGCAAAATGTTGATAATGAATAAGTATGATGATATAGATAGTCATTTTGTTCTTATTACTTTTGTGTGTGTTTGGAAATTGCCAGAATAGGGGCACCTGAGTGGCTCAGTCGGTTGAGCGTCTGACTCTTGGTTTTGGCTTGGGTCATGATCTCGGGGTCCTGGGACTGAGCCCCATGTGTGTCAGGATCTGTGCTCAGCAGGGAGTCTGCTTGGGATTCTCTCTCTCCCTGTCCCTTTCCCTCTGCCCCTTCCCACTCCGTGCTCGCTCTCTCTCTAAAATAAATAAACCTTAAAAAAGAAACACACACACACACAGTTTTTTGAGTCCTAAGTTTGCCTGATTGGGTAAAGGGTAGAAGCCCCGTTTCAGAATCATGTTCATCTACCAGAAGTATATATTTGTTGTGGAAGTCTGAGAAAAAGAATCTAGATGTACTACTCTGGAATGGGATTTCTAAAGGGGACAGTCTAACCCCATTGTGTAGCTACCTCAATTACAGGCATAAGAGGCCCTTTTCAGGAAAGGTATTGTCTTAGGACTTCTAGAACGGGCCACACCTCAACACACGATTCATGATTGAAGCCCCACTAAAGAGAACTGGTATTTCGAAGGGCTTCTGTGATACTCTAAGATACAATCACAATAGCTAATTATGAAAAGAGTTATTTTTGAAACAGAGATTTTCTATCCAGTGAATTAGATTCTAAACTCTGTGGTATTTTTAAAGTATAGTACACCATGGTATGTTTAAAATTTGCATATTACCACCTGGCATCCTTGAGGTTTATCATATAGATTTTTTTAGACTAGCAAAGGATTAGCAATAAGTGCTACTCATTTAAATGATTCATAATAAGGGGCGCCTGGGTGGCTCAGTCGGTTGAGGCTCTGACTCAGTTTCAGCTCAGGTCATGATCTTGGGGTTGTGGGATTGAGCCCCCAGTCAGGCGCCGCGCCCAGCAAGGGGGTGGTGTCTGCTTGAGATTCTCTCCCTCTGCCCCTCCCCTTACTTGCACACACATGCTCTCTCTCTAAAATAAATAAATCTTTAAAAAGTAATAATAAATGATTCATGATAAGTTAAATTTCCACAGCAGTCAGGCTCTGAAAGAGACCACTTTGAAATGACAATACACATACATTTCTGGGAGGCTTCTACCAGAACACTGCCAAATACTGAATTGGAAAAGAAGCCATGGATGTCTTAAATTATAAAAATAGCTTTAAATTCTTGAAAGAATTTGAGGTTGATCCAGAGTGACTTGCAATATATTAATCAAGAAGGAAAAACAGGGGTGCCTGGGTGGCTCAGTTGGTTAAGCGACTGCCTTCGGCTCAGGTCATGATCCTGGAGTCCTGGGATCGAATCCCACATCGGGCTCTCTGCTCAGCAAGGGGTCTGCTTCTCCCTCCGACCCTCCCCCCTCTCATGTGCTCTCTCTCATTCTCTCTCTCAAATAAATAAATAAAATCTTTA